GCAGCAGAAGAGAGAAGCATTGAGGTGTACGTACAGCTCATGTAAGAGAGGCCGACAGCAGCAACGCGCATGAGGGCTTGGCAACGCTGCTTTAAAGACTGTGCTGCTTCCTGCTGCTGCTGCTGCTGCTGCTGCTGCTGTTGCTGCTGCTGTTGCTGCAGCACGCGGTCAGCAGCAGAACGCAGCTGCGCAGCGACTGCAGCAGCAACAGCCCAGAGCCGTGCTGCTGCTAGCCGTGTCTTTGCATCTTTGTGTGTGGGGAGAGCAGCAGCAAGGAGGTGTACATACACCTCACGCAGCTCCTCTATCAGCTCTGTGCATGCCTCCAAGTCCACTTGCTGCTGCTGCTGCTGCTGCTGCTGCTGCTGCTGCTTGCCCCGCTGCTGCTGCTGCTGCTGCTGCTGCTGCTGCTGCTGGTTTTTGAATGGCGCCGCTGGGCGTCTTGCTGCGTAAGATAACAAAGACAGCAGGTGCTGCAGCCCTTCCTGCTGCAGCTGACGATTCTGCTGCAGCAGCAGCGGCAGCAAGCACTGCACTGCATGCACTAAGACGCTGCAGGCGCTCCTGCTGCTGCTGCTGCTGCTGCTGCTGCTGCTGCTGCTGCTGCTGTCTCTGGGTTGCTGCTGCTCCAGCTGGTACTGCTGCTGCTGCTGCTGCTGCTGCTGCTGCCGCTGCTGATGAGTTTCTCCTCCCCTTAGGAGGCCCCCTATAGGTGCATGCGGGAGCCCTGGCGGTGGCTGCTGCAGCAGCAGCTGCTGCTTTGTTGCTGCTGACTGTCGCAGCTCATCCTCGTATTGATGGATCTGCTGCTGCTGCTGCTGCTGCAGTTGATGCTGCTGCACGTGCTGCTGCTGGCGAGCATGTTGTTGCTGCAGCTGCTGCTGCAGCTGCTGTTGTTGCAACAACTGCTGTTGCAGCTGCTGCTGCGCATGCCGCTGCTGCTGCAGCTGCTGCTGCTGTCCATGCTGCTGTTGCTGCAGCTGTTGCAGCCGCTGCTGCTGCACCTCCTGCTGTGGCTGTTGCTGCTGCGGCCACTGCTGCTCAACGTGCTGTTGATGCTGCAGTTGCTGCTGCTGCTGCTGCTGCTGCAGCAAAGGCTGATTGTCCTGTACCCGGGAAGGCCGCTTCCATGGCGGAGCGTCGCTGCCCGGGTCGTGCTGCTGCTGCTGCTGCGGCTGCTGCTGCTGCAGTTGTCGTTTCTGTTGCTGCTGCTGCAGCGCGTAGGGTGTATAGGCGCCTGCAGCATCCGCAGCTGCTGCCTTCTCTATAGCCGAAGGGCCTCTTGGATGGGTTTGCTGCTGCTGCTGCTGCTGCTGCTGCTGGAGTTGCTGCTGCTGCAGTTGCTGCTGCTGCAGTTGCTGCTGCTGCAGTTGCTGCTGCTGCAGTTGCTGCTGCTGCAGCTGCTGCTGCTGCAGCTGCTGCAGCTGCTGCGGTGTATATCGAGGTTCAGCAATTGGGTGGAGCCCCGGAGGAACACCAACAAGGAGAATCTGCTGCTGCAGCTGCTGCTGCAGCTGCTGCTGCTGCAGCTGTTGCTGTAGCTGCTGCTGCAGCTGCTGCTGCAACCCCGGCAGGCCAGGGGGTAGAAGCGGTGCACTGGAGAGTTGCTGCCTCCGCTGCCGCTGCCGCTGCTGCTGCTGCTGCTGCTGCGGCTGCTGCTGTTGCTGTGGATGCGTGGCAGCAGCAGCTGAAGATGCTGCTGCTGCTGCTGCTGTTGCTGCACCAAGATGTATATCTCTGGTCGGCGCGGCGCCTTGCTGTCGGTGCAGCTGCCGCTGCTGCAGTTGCTGCTGCTGCTGCTGCTGCTGCTGTTGCTGCTCCTGCTGCTGTTGCTGCTGGGGATAGCCGCCATCATATCCTAGAGACCCAGGGAGGCGGGGCTTCTGCTGCTGCTGAGCCTGCTGCTGCAGCTGCCTCTGTTGCTGGCGTTGCTGCTGCTGCATGTGCTGCTGCTGCTGCTGCTGCTGCGCCCAAGGAGGCTGTCGATATGGGGGTTGCTGCTGCTGCCTCTCTCCGCTCTGTTGTTGTTGCTGCTGCTGAGGCCCACTGTGGAAGCCTGCAAAGCCTCCTCAGCAGCAGCAGCAGCAGCAGCCGCTGCTGC